CTTCTGTGCTCATCATAGTGACGTGTTAATTTTAGAAAAAGACAAACCTCTATGAAAAAGACGGGGATGATCAAACGCTCATAAAATTTGACACACTTGTGGAGTGCCATACAGTGCCAGTGTGACGACCTTCGCTCATAGAAAAAAAAAAGTCTCCCTAGCATCCTCTAGAAATCACAGGGGAGTGGTGGTGCAGAGGTTAGAGAAGATGGACCAGCGATCAGAAAGTCACAGGTTCAACTCCCCATACGGACATCATCAAAATGTGGGTGAAAAAGGTGAAACACCCACACCTGCCTCCACCCTCAAATGCCCCACTCTGGGCCCTCCCCCACCATCTGCTCCCAAAAAAACAGGTCTCTCTTGAAAATGAGTTCTCGTGACTCAATGAGACTACCTGTGTAAATAACGGGTACATAAAAGTAAAAAAATAAATTGTAAATGTAGGTTTCTTGCTGTGTTTTACGCATGTGGATAAATTGCAGTACACATGCATCAACTTTAGAAACACACAAACGTCTCCCGGGCCTACAGGGATCGCACTTCAGGAAGTCGGCCATTTTGGATCAATATTAGCAAGTGCCAAATTTGACCTTTTTATTTATTTCACAGCACGATGGCAGCCTTGGCCTCGGACAGCGCATACTGCGATGCAGTCCGGACCGCCCCAGTTATCACCGCTTGCAGTTGTAATTCTACTTGTAGTTTGAATACTTTACAATATAAACGAAATGGTAAAACAGAAAAATGTACCAATTCAAAGTAGCAACGATACACATTTTCTTTCATTTCTAATTTTATTTTCTACCAAGGCAAGCTGAGTTTATCTCAGCTCCAACCCACATGAAACACAACACGTGACTCAACACAGGAGAAATAAATAAATAATATTTCCAAAACCAAAATAATGCATGGTGATGTGTCAGACCTGCAGGATGAACAAGAGAACAAGGCAGACAAACAGAAAATGTTCAAATAACAACTTGTATGTTTTAATGTTTTAAATTACTGTACAAACATTTGACTAATTACTGGGTTAGATGAGATTATAGCAAGATGGTGGATTAAACTGTTAATTTTAGGCAACAATAAAAGCTTCTCTGATAGCTGTATCTAACAAAGTGTTTATTAAAATAAATATATTATTGGAAAAAGTGCCTAAACTTAATGTGTAAAGAACGTGGAAGCCTTCATCTCGTCACGGACTTCTCACAACTATACCAGGATTATAAGGCAAAGTGGTAAATGGAGGTTTAAAAATGGAAAATAAACAAAAAGTTGTGTGTTTCTAGCTGATAAAACGATTGTCTTTCATGCAGACTTCATGTGCATGAGCAAAAATTAAAAAAACACAACATGCAGTTTATGTTTTGATGTACAATCAACATGCCGCAAGTCCAAGCTCCCATTTTTAAATCAGTCTAAATACCCAGCTGCATCCGTATGTCTTTGTTGCATCCATCAGTTTTTAGTAAGACATTAGGAAGTTGTTGTTTTTAACATCTGCAATAAATTTAATCCTACATGTGAACAGCAGAAACTACAGGTGACCTTCTGCCTGTTTGGAATGAAGTCATTACGAGTGACGAGATGTTCGGCAAGTTAAAGACAGAAACCTCCTGCAGTAAAAAGTGCAATAAAAGTCTGGTATCAACATTTAGACAAGTGTAAAAATAAATATTAGTGTACATCAGTGCTGTGAAGGAGTAACAACAGAGCAGTGAAGCATCCGGCTCTACTTTCATGCTCACACGAGCTCCTGCAGGTGGCGCTGTGCTGTCGTCTGCAGACACACCTACTTGCCTATTTAAAAAAATATAAAAAAATTACAATCAAGAGCATGAACACGTTTTGCCGCTCAAAGTATGGCAGGCTATTTTACCATATATTCATATCACTCCTGTTTTTTAACCTACTGCTTTAGTTTTCAATACCATCACTCAGAATTAAAACGAACAAAACTTTACAATCCCATCGTTAGAGGTAGGCGACATGACAGTGCAGTCAGAGCGATTGCCCAACAGAAGAAGAGTCACAGGATGACGTCCTGGACTGGACCTTGCTGGGTGGAACAAGCATATCCGTTTTCTTTGGGTACTCCAGTTTCCTCCCACAGAACAAAAACATGCATGTTAGGCTGACTGGTAACTAAAATGTCCCTAGGTGAGAGAGAGTGAACAGTTGTCTCTATGTGTCCCTGTGATGGACAGGAGACCTGTCCAGGGTGTCCCCACCTCTCTCACACTGACAGCTGGATATGGGCGCCTGTGACACCAGTGATCTCCGCAACCCAAAAAGGAAGAAGCGGGTAAAAGATGGATGGATCTGCAGTACACATCCAGGCTGCTATAAATGTTAAATCAACCACTTGAACTTTTTAAGGTAATCAGACATTGTGTATTTAAACTGTCATTACAGTTTGGGTTGTAGATCTTAAAATTCTATTTTCTACTTGTCAAATTTTGAATGGACAGTAAATGCATTTGAATTTTGACAAGTCAAAAAAGCTACTGTGACAAGTAGAAATACTACGACAGAAATCTAAAATAGTAAATATTAGTGTTGAAATTAAACAGTAAAACTGCCTGCCATACTTTGTGCCAACTCAAACAAACAGGCAGAGTTGAGCCAGCATGTGAAAGTTGAGCGCACGTTGTTTGCTCAGCCTAACGCAAACGTGCACTTCAGTCTCAACTCTGCTCAAACTGATATAAAAACAATTCTTCATAAATTTCCTGTAACGTGTTCAGGCTGTGCTTGTGTGTGCTAAGCTACTCCCAGAAGACACTTAAGAGATGAGGGGTATATTAGAGGGATTTCCAGATTTGTTGTGATAAAAGTCAAGAGTTTGCAGCATCACCAAAGAGGCCCAGCTAGATCACCATGGTAACACAGGTTGAGCTCATCACCTGCTCTGCAGCAGCAGACAGAACTCGATGAACTGAGCTGTTTCAGCTTAAATCTCCTGTTGTTCTAATTAAATCACATACAACGTTACACTTTTAACAAATGGTATTAAAAATGTCAATTACCTTTAAAGGCAGTCAGTGCATCACATTTAGCCATTTTCATTTAAATGCAACCATTTAACCATAAAACTGTGTTTTTCAGGAACATCCTTCATTTCATCTGGCAAATAGATATTTTATGGATTCTAATCTGAAGTAAAATCTCCCTGATTTATTATTAGAGCCCGACCAATACGGAAATTTTGGCTGTCGTTGAAAACGACATTGGGTGGAGAAGGTGAATACCGAGAACTGATATAATGGCTGAAATGTTTAAGCTTTGTCCACCACCCAGAATCTAAGTAAACAGCAAGTGGAGCAGGGCTCGTTTATTTAGCACAGCTGTTAGCAACCATGAAGCTACGCTAATCAGATCTATGCTATACGTAGTCCCACAGTAGGTTTACAAGTCACTGGTCATAAAACAGTCTTCCTAACATGCGTTCACATTTTCTCTCCTCCACTATTCACCAAAAAGTTATTAAGTGTGTTATATAAATATAAATTAAACATAGAAACTCCCCTCCCTGTTCATTGTTTAAACAGTCAGTCACGTACGGTGAAGGTCTAATTAGTAATGACTGCAGCAGCGTTTATTTTTCTTTGTTGAGAAGATTTCAGACAAACAATGCATTTTATTGAGGACGACAAAGATAACGTTACTAACACGGATATATTTTACCTCTATGTTACATTTATTGCTCTGGATAGTTTTACAAGGCCTATGCTAGGTTATCTAAACGTTAGCTTGTTAACTTGAGAGGCATGTAGCTAATGACAAGTGGTTTGGAGGATTGAGAATTTATTATTGTTGATTTTTTTTATTGTATTTTACAGAGCAGTTAAAATAAAACCTACCATGCCCAGCAAAATACTCTAAACAGTATTGCTCCTGCTTTGTCTATGCTGAAAATGAAAGTGAAACTTAAGTGACTGGTGTTCTGATGCTTCTGCTGGATATATTGTACAATTACGGCTCATTTCCAGCATTTTAGAGGTGAAAAGTAGAAGTGTTTGTATCAGAGTATAATGGGACAATCATCACAGGTCCTCAAACATCTATCAACCTAAAATATTGGCCCCTCCATATATTAATTGGGCTCTATTCACCATAACTCTTTTTTAAAAACTCACTCATAATTCTCAGCATAGGATTTGGGAGAAATACTCTCAGAAACTTAAAACGCTCATAGCGCTATGATATATTGACTTTTTACACCCTTTAAGAAATGGCCAGGTAGTTTTTGAAGTGATGTTTGTCCAGTAATTGTCAATAGTTAGTACTTTATCAATTGTGACATTATTCAAAGAGCACTTATTATGATTGAAGAATGGCTATCTCAACTAGGTTTTACATTGTTTTCAGGAGTATTAAACAACTTTTTTCTCCAGGTGTGAAAAACACTACATTAGCTATTTTTAAACCTCTACCCATTTGCATGACAGAGTTTTTTTTAAGTCAACTACTGTTTTCTCAACCCAACAAGGTCCATGTTACTACGCCAATGAATGTGTGCCGAGCATAGATAGATCACTACATGATGATGGTGACGTAGCTGCTCCCACTTGTCGGATCAGAGCATCTAGTCAGTCCAAACGTTTACTCAAAACTCTGCGGACGTTTCAGTTAAGTTCAACGCCATTAGCATATGAATATAAGCTGGAAATTTTGCCTCATAGTATACCCCTCTGGTTAAAAAAACCACACAGATAAGAAATTATTTAACAACTGGTTCAGATATGCCCATTTTTAATTTTATAATGGACTCCAGTTCATTAAATGAGAACTGTGGAGGCAGCAGTGTGGGAGAAAGTGGTCAACACAACGTGTGCGGCCTAGAATCAAATTTTGAAAGTTGTGCACGCAAACATATGCCATGATGTTTAAAGATTACGATAGTGAAACGAGGCCACGCTGCATGCTGGCAGCAAACACTCAAAGTTAGTGAGAGTGCATCCAAATAGTTTCCTACTTTGTTGCAATTCTGAGTCGACAGCTAGCCTTCAACAGTCACAGTCCTGTGAGACACCGCCTGGAAGAGTGGACCACTTGGTATTCCTACAGTAAGTGCAGTAAGTAAGAACAATAAGTGCAACACTTGCCATCATACACACGCTTGTCCTTAAGATGAAACATGAAAATAGAGCTCTTCGTTTTCACTGTTAGTGTTCTTATCCTAATCATAGCGTCGCCCGGAAGTCATTCAGATAATAAATATATCTACTGAACAGTCACGTTTCAGTAACTGAGGAAGACCTTGTGGTGAGATCATTCAGGCCTGTTGCGTCGCCTGAGGCTGGTTGGAGGCTGCTCTGCACCGACATCCTCAATCTTGGTCTCGTTCGACTCTTCCAAACAAGTGTGGAGCTCAGGGGGCTTTGGCTTTTCTCCACCATCTTTTGTTTCATTGTTTGCCTCTTCTGCTTCTTCTGATTCATCAGAATCTTCTGGCCCGTGCTCCTTCATCTCTTCACCTTCTGCTTTGGCATCATCAGTATCATCAGAGTGTGTGCCGTACACGTCCTCAGCAGCTTCTGCAGTCTCAGCAGAAGGTCGCTTGTCTACAACTGCAGAGGCGTCTTTGGCCCCGAGGGACTCTATGAGGTCATCCAGATTACGGTTACAAGAAGGCTCTGAAAGACAAAAACACAAGCTGTATTCATTTACTGAAATTAGTACAAGGGGGCTGAGATGGGGTATAGGCAGGGCAGCCGACTCGGGACCCCAAAGTCCCAGGTTCGATCCCCAGTTACTGCACATCTCGTGGTGTCTCTGAGCAGCACATCTTATCCCCAAATGCTCTCCAGGGCACCTTCAACAGCTGCCCACTGTTCCACCTGGTGGTGGATGGGTTAAATGCAGAGAGCCAATTTCACCATTGTATGGAAACATAGAATGATGACAACAAATAGTACATGATTAGTATTATTATTATTATTAATTGTTTGTGTGCTCTTGTTCAACATCCATTATCTGTTGCTTATTCCAGAGTACAGAAGCTAAAGTAAGGAGGCCTAGACATCTCTTATCACAGCGATTTCTACCAAAGTCTTCCAAGACCCATGCCAGCCAAGAGACGTAGTCTTTCCAGCATGCCCTGGGTCTTCCCTGGAGTCTCCTTCCAATAGGACATGCCCAGTAGCCCCTGTAGGTCACTACCTAGAGTGCGTGACTATAAGTGAGTGTAGGAACACAGAACAACTGCTTTACAGCTCAGCTACCTCTTCACCACAATGTATGCAATACTGCTAGTCTTCTGTCATTTATGAAGTAAACCCAGAGATACTCCTTCACGTGAGGCAGCACCTCACTTCCAACTCGGAGAAACCAGTCAATCCTTTTCTGACTGAGAACCATAGCCTCAGATTTGGAAGTGCTGACTGTCACCTCAGCCACTTCACACTCAGCTACAAAGATAAATTATTTCTATAAAAGTTATGAACATAATTTGTGACAATGTGCAGACACGGAAGAGTCCTAGTCTAACCTTGAAGACGTCAGACTTGCTGCCAGTATTGTAATCCAGACTCTTGCAAGGTTTGCACTGGGACACAATGGCTCTCAGTAGTGGTCTCCCAACCCCATACTGATGGGAGCACCCTACAGGGTACGCCAAAAAACACAGTCAAATGCTTTCTCCAAGTTCACAGAACACACGTAGCTGGCTGTGGAGTTACCAGCTAACAAGGCTCAGCAGGACTGCTTTAACTTGACACCTGGCACCAGGCCTGGGGGCTATAAATAGGCCCACACCGGCCCAGCGCCTCATCATGGACAACTCCAGAGTGGAATAAGCTCCAAATACTGTAGGAGCGACTAGTTATAAAACACCCTTGTTCCACATTTCAATATTTATTCCCCACTTCAGATTAGATCAGACTTTACCTGTCCTGCTGACAAACCTACCGTAATTTCCGGTCTTTAAGCCGCTACTTCTTTCACATGCTTTGAAAACTGCGGCTTATACAATGCTACTGGACTTATGTATTAATACTGGACTATACTGGACTTCTGTATTAATACTGGACTATACTGGACTTCTGTATTAATACTGGACTATACTGGACTTATGTATTAATACTGGACTATACATGACTTATGTATTAATACTGGACTATACAGAACTTGTGTATTAATACTGGACTATATTGGACTTATGTATTCATACTGGACTTATGTATTACACTGGACTATATTGGACTTATGTATTAATACTGGACTATATTGGACTTATGTATTAATACTGGACTATATTGGACTTATGGATTAATACTTGACTATATTGGACTTATGCATTAATACTGGACTATATTGGACTTATGCATTAATACTGGACTATATTGGACTTATGGATTAATACTTGACTATAATGGACTCATGCATTAATACTGGACTATATTCGACTTATGTATTAATACTGGACTATACTGGACTTATGTATAAATACT